AACCATGCAGTACCTCCTTGGTCTTGTCCTCTGCTATTCTCTCTCCTGCTTGAGCTTGTCTGCTGATGGTGCTATCCACTGGGGTTTTATTTGATTTATTAAGGTTTCCATTTCTACTTGGTTGTTCTTCACAGTTTCCATTTTCTTGCTGAATTTCCCTTCCATGTTGCTTACTTTCTTATCAAGGCTTGGATTTATTTCCTAATTTCATTTATCTGTTTGTTTGAGTCCTCTTAATGGTTACTGATCATTTTTAGCAGTAGGCTTTTGAATTCTCTCTCAAATTCATCTAATTCATTATCTTTGGGTTCAGTTGTTGAGCTGTTGTGGTGGGGTTTTGGAGAAGAGACATTGCCTTGCTTTTTCATATTTAAAATGTTACACTGCAATTTGTGGATCTTTTGGTCTAAGTTTCTCTTTTACTTCCTCACATAAGCAGAGAACTTACTGCAATAATTAGGGTAGCAATTCAGCAATAAATCAACTATTTGAATGAATAAGAAACAACTAGAACCCTTGTCTGTCTCTCCATTAAGGTTCTATGGGAGCAAAACTCTTGTTTCTAGGGGGTGATCTGGGAGCTTAATGTTGGTTGAAAGGTATAAAGATTGGGAATTGGGTATTGCATGGTTTGGGCATGGGGCAGGGATGGAAGTGAGATGACAGAAGTGGAGGGAGGTGTAGGAGGTAAAAAAATGAGAGAACTATATATTAATAACAAACAAAGAATGGTTTGGAGGATGAGGAGAAAAAAAGAGAACAAGAAAGATTCCAACAATTAGAAACCAAATTAAAGAGAAGAAAAAGAAAGGAAGATAAATGGTCAACAAAAATAAATTGAAGGGGGAAAACCAAACCGCCCAAAAAACACTTGTATTTCTTGCTGGAGAGAAGTGCTGTATGTTTATCCTGATTCCTGTAACCTTGCTGGATGCAGTTATTAGCTCTAGGTTTCTGTGTAGTTTTTAGATTCCTTGAGATTTTCTACACAATTGTGTCATCTACAAATAGAGACAGGTGTACTTCTCCTTTCTTTTTTTTTTTAACAACCTTAGTTTTCTTTTTATTATTTTGCATCTTAATTACCATATTATTATTGTACTAGGTATACATTGTGACATTTAAAAAAGTTCTTATAATATATCAGACTTGAATTTACCCTCTCCACCATTCTCCTTTATCTCCCTCCCCCCATTCCTGGAGTAGTTTCAACAGGTCTCACTTTTTTATTTTCATACATGAGTATGTAATATTTCCACATATTCCCTCTCCTACCCCCCCTTTCCTTTATCCTCCCTCCTCCCACTGGAACAACCCCCCCCCCAGACAGGACCTGTTTTACCTTCCCTTCCTTTGCTTTTGGAAAAAGCTTTTGTTTGTTTAACATAGCTATACAAGGAGTTTTGTTATTACATTTCCATACATATATGTTTTATATCCCAAATTCCACAAGCATTTAAATACAGGAAATAGGTTACACAAGTTTTGCAGCACTGAAAAAACAAAAGGGGATGCTTCCACAACTCAGAAAATAATTCAAGGAATCAGTTACCACCCCCAAAGCCCTGGAATAAAAGCAAAGGTTTGGGTTCTCAAAAGCTAGGAGTTCAGAGTTAAGGACTTACAAAATGGTGCTAGGACTTTTGACGGGAAGTGGCTGTGTAGCGATACTAGTACCTTAAGAATTTGGATGAAACATCTCAAGCCTCTGAAGAAGGGTTAGCAGCTTCACTCAGCATTTACTGACTGGTACCTTTTAGCTGGCACAAGGAGAAGTGCTGCATAAAGAGTACTTCTCCTTTCTAATCTGTACATATTTTCTTTTTTCTTGTTCTCCCTCCACCCTTTAATTATAGCCTATGGGACTGCCCAGAACTTCCTGGATTATGTTAAACACAAGTGGTGAGAATGGAATCCTTGCTTTGTTCTTGATATTAGAGAAAAAGCACTTGGCTTTTCACCATTAAGAATAATGTTAACTGTAGTTTTTTAAAGATAATTTTTTATCAAGTTGAGAAATTTCCATTGAGCAATTGGACCTGATTGTCCTGAGGACCATCTGAGAAACACGGTGGAACCTATCAGATCATCTCACAGGGAAAGAGGAGCCCAGGCTGTTCATCCTACCAGTTGCTATCCCTATGGACTAGGAATGTATGTTAATCAGTTTTTCATTGCTGTGATAAATAGTTGGGAGATCAACTTAAAAGGAGGAAGGTTTTATTTTCACTCATGTTTTCAGTCCATGCTCATTTAGACCCTTTGCTGTGGGCCTGTGGTGAGGCAGAGAACCACAGCAGAGAGAAAGTGAGAAGACAGGAAGAGGCCAAGGCAGGATATGGCTCCAAAGACATATCCCCACTGACCTATTTCCTCCAGCTAGGCTGTACTTCCTAAAGTTTCCAGAGCCTCTCACATACCACCAGCTGGGACTGAGCCTTCCACACAGGAGCCTGTGGGGGCACTTCACACGCAAACCCTAACAGTACGCTGATTCACCTCACATCTGCTTTTCAAGGCTGTGTGTCGGGAAAACACAGAAGGGAGGATGAAGACGCTTGAGGAGGGAAGCTGTGACTCCATCAGTGTGCTGGGAACTGTCTATGACAGTTGAGAGGGTCAGCCATAGTCCCCCCTTGCATGGACCCACTCACACTCCACATCAAGGTTATTCTGTAGCTGAGCTTCCAGAGTGGTGAGAGACATGGTCTCTAGAATAATTATGCAGATGGTTAGGGAAACGCTACAGTTCCACTGTCCGAGGCCTCTCAGGCTTTGTTGACATTCATCTCAAGCTTCTTGTATCCCTTCTAGGTGAGCCTTTATCCCAGCTGCACATCCTCTGGCATGGTGCTGTTGGTGGTGTCATCATAGTCTACTTACATGTGGGCGTTGTATGAAGCCCAAACACTGTCCCCTCTAGTGAGGAATTAGCTGCACCAAGAAGCTGTGACCACCCTGAGATTCAAGGCAAGGGTAGTGAGGGATGTGACCAGAAGTGGCGAGTGCCATAGATGTGGAGTAGGGTCATCCCAGCAGGATCAACACCAGAAGGGAATGTATTCCTCAGAAAATGTCCCAGGCCATGGAGCAATGGGGCCAGGAAGTCGTTCTACTCCCGTCCTACCATTTCCCATCATGGGTTGACCTCAGTATCCTGGGAGTATCTACCATCTGTGGACCTCAACCTCATACCCTATGTCCTGTCCACCATGGGTTGACCCCAACTTCCTGTCCTACCTCCTCTCGATGCTGTCTACTACCACTTTAACTTAACAACTACCTAAGTTGGAGAACTTGGTAGAATTCAGCCTGCTAGGACACAAGGTGAGACCATTGGGTGATAGGAGGCAGCTGGAAAGTTCCAATGGCACAAACCATAAGATTCGTGGTGGCAGCCCTGCTCTGTTAACCATGTGTACATTTTGTTCCCATCTGTGTCGAGCTTTGAATTACACGTGCCAATGTCGTAAGGTGCTTAGATCAACGATTCACACACAGCAAGTCAAGTACACATTGTCTGGGATACAGTAAACAAGAACAGGACAGAAAATCCCCCGCATGGAGACTCCAGCCTGCTCACTGATCTCTGTTCCTAAAGAGCACAGGCCCCTCTCTTCCCACACCAGGGCTTCCTCCTCAGCAGCAACTACCATACTGGGGTCATTAGAGCCCCACAGCTTATTAGAGAGTGCTCATTACTATTGTTTATTGAGTACCTGGGGTTGTCCAATTGGGCTACAGAGACACAAAGATGCCACACGCACCAACGCTTGCCTTCAGAGCCTGTGTCAGCGGGTCTCAGGGCAGGTGAGTAAGGCCCAGGAACTGCAGTGGTGAGGAGTGGGGTTGATGCCAGCAAACAGGATACCTAGAAGAACCCAGCCAGGAGTTCTGAACTCATGCAGACACATGGCCTCCTTGTGCTTCTCCTGCCCATTTGTCCAAAGGGAATGGGATTTGCACCTACACTGGGGACACTGGGTGGTCAAAGCTGATGAGGGAGGGGAAGCCAGTGGGAACTCAGAGACGCCAGCAGAATGAAGTCAAGACAGTTGCCTAACTGTGAGCTCACAACAGGCTGAGGTGGCCCCTTGCCCTGAATCCCACAGCAGGCTAGAAAGTGGGGAAGAAACCAATGTCCATGTAGTCTCCATTGTGTCAGGGCAGCCCAGGGGCTCCACGTGTCCTCTCAGCAGGTCCTCAGGTGACCAGAGCAGCAGAAGATCTGAGTTTCCTTGTTATACATGAGCCCTGTTGGATCACAGAGGTGAAATAACACATCTGAGAATAAGATGTGCTCTAAGAGAGCACAGCTGGCTTTGGGGTGCAGAACCAAGCAGATTGGGGGGATGTTGCTCTTTAGTGTGACCTGGGGTCTGCTCTAAGGAGGTGATATTTAAATTGATCCTGAGTCATAAAATACTGGCACACCCCCAAAAAGACTTAGGGAAGGGCAGTGAGGGTGTCTCCCAGGGCAAGGGCCTTGGGTTCAGGGAAATCAGGGGCATTGTCCGTGGTTCAGCTTTGTCCCTTCCTTGGCAGCAGGAGGTGAGACTCCTGTTTCTCAGTGAACTCGATTCAGGCCAGGCATGGACAGATGGAGGACAGAGTGGGGAGGGAGCATGAGGAGGCCAGGGCCCTTCCTCCCTGGCTCAAAGTGCTGACACCTGTGCCACCCCCATACTTGAATGAGGTGTCCCCTCCAGGTGGGCTGTTCTGTGAGCAGCACCATTGGGTGGTACAAACATGGACATATTGTGTGTCTTTCATCTTTAGTTGGCACTGAATTGCTATTCATCAGATCCCAAAAATAATAAAATCCACTTTCACAACGGGTGTGGATTTGGCTCTGACAGGTGGACAGGAGGGGTGTGGTCAGTGTCAAGTGGGCACAGGCCACTGGTCACAGGGACTTAAAGGGCACCTGTGAGGAGCCAGGACAGCCTCCTCCAGATACCACAGGTGACCTGCCTTATCTGTGAGCACAGAGCCTAGAGATGAAGACTCTTCTCTTGACCTTTGTGCTGCTCAGACTGGTGGCCACCCTGCAGGCCCAGGGCCCCCGTTGGCCCTCTTGAAGGAGCAGAATGTGAGACTGGGTGGGGTGGTGGGTGGGGTAGGAGAAAGGCATGATGGAGGACAGTGGTGGACCTGAGTACTGTTTCAGAAGGTGTCCTTTACAGCTGGGTTCTGACTCTGCATCCTGGCCTGGAGTGGTCAGAGTTCAGGGGTCTCTGTTGTTCCCCGGCAGACACAGGCCCTCCTGGGCAGAGGGCTGGAGTAGGAGTGCAGATTTGAGTCAGGAGTCCTGTTATATCCGAAGTCCTCACAGAGCAGGACCTTCAGTAGTGAAGACTCACCTGGTGTATTGGGGCCTAACCCAGAGGACAGACCCTTGGAGAGCAGACGCCCTCTGCCTCCACTGGGGCTGGGAGCCAGGAGTCCTGGGGTGCTCTTCTGAGCACAAGGATGTAGATGTATGGGGGTTTAGCCATCTCTGGAAGCAGCAGCCTGGGCTCTGGGGATGTCCGTCTAGGCTGCAGGCTGGGGGTCTGGGGAGAGAATCTGTGCTAGGCAGTGGTGGCTTCAAGGCTTGGCCTGCTCCAGCTCACAGGGACCTGGTACATGAAGGCCACAGTTTCCAACAAGAACCTGACAAAAGGGAAGAGGCTCAGGGAGGCATTCCCCGTAGCAATGATAGCCCTGGAAGGGGGGAATGTTTGAGGCCAAGGTCACCATCATGTGAGTGTCCCCTCAGTCCTACTGTTCTTTCCTCTCCATCCACGTTTTGACTGTTGGTGACCCATCGTCCTGACTTTGAGGAGACTAGCCCCAGGCAGTATCCCAAAGCTCAGGCAGGGGTAGCGTAGGATTTTCAGAGATATCTGCTCAGGGCCAATGCAGCAGGTGAGCTGGGTAAGGCTCAGGTGCTTGTCCTGATAGCAGCTGCCCATGGCTCCCTATTTTCCAGGTTTAAAGGCCACTGCCACGAGAAGAAAATTCTGATGCAGAAAACTGAGGAGACTGGTGAATACAGGGACCGTGAGTCTGGGCTGGCTGGTCCTGAGCCTGGGGGACAGAGGGGCCCCTGCCCTATCCATCTCCTAGAGGGGCTACCTCTCCCTTCCCAGGTGCCTTGTGGCCCTGACCCAAGACACCAGGTGTCATGGGATTGGTCACAGCAGGGATGAACAAGGCCATGCCTCCCTCTGAGTGGTCCTAGTTATTGACCCATAGGGAAACTGAGGCCTAAGAGTCTGGGAAGCAGGGCAGGATTGGGGCTCTAAGTTGTGACCTCTTCTGCTATACATTGTCTGGACTCCACAGCTGGGGTTGGCACCTTCTTGGGGTGGGGTGGGGGACCCATCAAGCAACAGGAGAATCCTAGAGTGACAGAGGCCACAGCAAGACCTGGGCTCAGACTGGCTTAGTCTCCTGGTTGACCACGCAAATGTTTGGAGGGCTCCTTAATGAGGTCTTGGATGTTTTCTCCAGCACGAAGGTGCCTAAGAGCTATTTTGTCTGTTTATCTACAGTAAAGGGCAAGAAGCGCTTATACATAGAGGAGCTGCCTGTGATGGACCACGCCATCTTTTATTGTGAAGGCCAGCACCATGGGAAAACATTCTGTGTGGCAAAGCTCATGGCTGAGGTTCCCCAGAGACTCCCATCTCTTGCTCGAAGCCAGTGGCAGTAGCCACGCCCTGGCACTGGGGGATAAGAAGTCCCCGGTTGGCCTTCAGGTGCTAGGCACAGTGTGCTGCCTGGGGAGTCCAAGCTTTCAAGTGGGAAGGGGGTCAGTTGGGTGAGGACTGTAGGGGAAGGAGGTTCCAGTCCTTGAAGCTGTCAAGAGCCACTTCCTCTGATTTCAGGAATGGAAAGGGTCATTGTGAAGGTCTGGTACCCTGACAGATGCCTTCATGTGGCAGGGACCCTCCAGAATGTGTGACCCTGCATTGATGCTCAGGAGCTGCCTGGGGTCCCAGGGTCTTAGGATGTCCCCACAACAAATCTTCTTGTCCACTGTTGGATCTCCTGCCTGTGGCTGCTCCAGGGTGAAAATCCTAGTGCCACTCAGTGGCTGGGTCCTTGTGTCACCCATTATCTGCTAAGCTGTGCAGTCATCACACCTCTCTTCACTTGACCCCTCCCTCATGGGGAGGACCTCTGAGGAAAACCTGGAAGCACTGGAAGAATTTAAAGAATTTGCACAATGCAAGGGACTTCTGCAGGAGGACATCTTCATGCTTGAACAGAGGGGTGAGGGCCCTCTGCCCATATCCCTTCCCCATGTCTCCTCTGTGTCACTCATCTCTCCCTGTGTGCCCCACGTCTCTCTGTCTGAGCTATGGATGTGATGGGGTCTGAGCCTTTGCCCTGGGTGCCTTCTTACCCCTGGGTTTTTCTCCATTTCTACAGAAAGCTGTGTCCCTGAGCACCACTAGGGTAAGTGACCCTCTGGAAGGACAGTGGAGAATCTCAGAGACCTGGGTTCTGGAGTTTGAGGGTCCATCTCCTGTTTGCTGATTCCATCCACTGAAGCAGGAGAGACCCCTGCCTGGCCAGGCAGGAGTGGTCACTGCAGGATTTGGCCCTGAGTGTGATTCCTGGGACATTTAGGAAGTCCTTTCTTTAACCAGCAACCTTTCATGAGAGCCTGTTTGGAGGCTCTAGCGAGGGAGCGCAGTTTCTCATATACCCTTGAATGAAGAATGGTCCTCCTCTATCAGGAAAGGTTGTCCTCTTGAACTGAACACATAGGTCAGGAGGGACAGCCATGGATCAGTGAGGGAGGAAGGGGACATCCACCTAGCTAACCAGATCAGCTGAATCAACCCTGGTGATCACTGGGTGACAGATGTCACAGCCAGATCACCCTCACATCCCAGTGTCCTTTCTTTTATCATCATCCTGCCCAAATCCTGGTCTCCACTTGATCCAATCCCATACTCCAACTACCCATCAGGGATGCTCCAGAGACCTGGTTGGTCATGGAGAGTCAAGGGTGGCTTTCGGATCCACAGCTTCCCTGCAGGCAGCGCATGTCACAGAAGCTTGGGAAAGGAAATATCTGACCCCAGCTGTCCCCTGCTGACTGCTGCTCCCATGGAGGGACTTTCATCTCTGCTCCTCTTCCTGTCACAGCAGCCACCCAGGTTTACACCTCCTGAGCCAGCCCAGCTGCCAACACAGAGCTGGGACCTCCCCAGACCACTTCTCCTGCCTGGACCAGCCTCCTGCTTAGACTGCCCATCTCCCTTGGGCCGTCCCCCAGCCTTAACCCTCTGCTTCCTTTCCTAACCCTTCCTGACTACAAATGAAACACCTTAGCAGCTGCTCTGGGTTTGGCATAGTGTGACGGGATCTTGGGGTGGGTCCTTATGAGCTCTGCTAGGATGAGGAGCCATGGGAGATAAGGAGACATTGGATCCATAGGAACGAAGGTGCCTGTTTAAGCTCCTGGGCCAACAGGGCCTTTGTGGGATTCTGGAGGTCTTCATTTTGAGCAGGCTGACTCAGTGGTAGGGATGGAGGGACTGTGGCCAACCCCTTCCTCTTCACCCCCAAAACAAAACAAAGCCAGTCGCCATGTCTACAGGTCCTTGTCTCCACCTTAACTCTTCTGTGGTTTGCCTGTGCAGACAGTGGCCCACAGGGACATGAAGGGCCCCAGGGAGGGAGGAGAGGTCCTGTACTCCAGATGATAAACATAACCCTAAACTGCAAATCCTAATGGGATTGGGCTTCCCAGAGGACAAGGCTGCAAAGTGTCCATCTTTCTCTGAGGGGCGTTGATTGCTTGAGCCAGGTGACCATCATTTCAGTGATCTCTAGCCCAATTCCCACCCCGACCTGTTGTCCTCTCCTTGCTCCTCTCCTGCCTGACCTATTTCTTGGTGGGAATTGTTCTGTTGTCCTGACATACAGCCAAGTTGGCAGGCATCAGGTGCAGCCCAAGGCAGCCTGGATGCATTGAAGGACAGGGAAAGCCCTGAGTCTACAGCAATAGTGGGCACAGTGTGTCTCTCCACTTTCCAGGCCCAAAGTAAATTACAGCTGGGCCAAAGACCATCACATGAAAATATAAGAAAATAAGTCATCTTGGGAAGCAAATGAGCAATAGAGAAAGAAAAAAATCCCTCAGCTGAGAAGATGGAGATTTGATTCAGGAGTGTGAAACACAGGTGTAGAAATCACCGATGGGTGAAGGCCCATAAGGCCCATGTGGACAGTCTGTCCTGGGCACCTCTGCCCAGCACCCCTGCCCCATCTGCCATGTACCTTCATCTTCTGGTGGTTGACAACACCTCCATCACCATTTCTCACCCTGGTCCACAGGTCAGTCCAGTTTCTCTTGACACCTGCCATAGGTGGTCCAAGGATGAACATCAGACCAAGCACCTCTGGCTACTGGAATCTCAAACCTGAGCTGGGAGACACCAGCGCTGCCCAGGCAGACGTGGACTTCTCTGGCCCCACCTTGGTCTCTGCTCCTGAGCCGCTGCAGTGCCCCAGGGGCCACCTGTCTCCACCCTTTTATCACCTCCCATTCCACACCACAGGCTCTCCCATCTTAAGTCAGAGACTGTTTCCATTGCTTTAACCCTTGGTCCCCTCAGAGACACTGAAATCTGAATATTTGAGGAGTGCTGTTATAAACAAGTTAGGAAACCTTTCAATACAACCCAAAATGTGTGCAGAGGTGATGAACAGAAACTCCTCAGTGACAAAAAGACCCATGGAAGGGCTGGAGCCTCAGAGATTTGAATGGTAGGAATGACCTTTTTTGATCTTTTCCAAATGGATTTGGATTTTTTTGGTAGGTGTTTTTTTTTTTTTTTTTTTGGTGGATCTCACTTTGTACTCCAGGGTGGCCTCAGACTCATGGTCCTCCTGTCTCAGCTATCCTAAGGTAGAATTACAAGTGTGTGCCACAACACCCAGTTTCTCACATTGATTTTTATTTTTTTATTTTTTTATTTTAGATCATTTAATTTTTCTTTTTTTTTTTTCATTTTTCTTTTATTATTCCTATGTGCATACAAGGCTTGGTTCATTTTCTCCCCCCTGCCCCACCCCCTCCCTTACCACCCACTCCACCCCTCCCGCTCCCCCCCTCAATACCCAGCAGAAACTATTTTGCCCTTATTCTCTAATTTTGTTGTAGAGAGAGTATAAGCAATAATAGGAAGGAACAAGGGTTTTGCTGGTTGAGATAAGGATAGCTATACAGGGCATTGACTCACATTGATTTCCTGTGCGTGGGTGTTACCTTCTAGGTTAATTCTTTTTGATCTCACCTTTTCTCTAGTTCCTGGTCCCCTTTTCCTATTGGCCTCAGTTGCTTTAAGGTATCTGCTTTAGTTTCTCTGCGTTAAGGGCAACAAATGCTAGCTAATTTTTTAGGTGTCTTACCTATCCTCACCCCTCCCTTGTGTGCTCTCGCTTTTATCATGTGCTCATAGTCCAATCCCCTTGTTGTGTTTGCCCTTGATCTAATGTCCACATATGAGGGAGAACATATGATTTTTGGTCTTTTGGGCCAGGCTAACCTCACTCAGAATGATGTTCTCCAATTCCACCCATTTACCAGCGAATGATAACATTTCGTTCTTCTTCATGGCTGCATAAAATTCCATTGTGTATAGATACCACATTTTCTTGATCCATTCGTCAGTAGTGGGGCATCTTGGCTGTTTCCATAACTTGGCTATTGTGAATAGTGCCGCAATAAACACTCACATTGATTTTTAAAAAATCAAAAAATATACTTACAAAGAAAAGCAAAAGAATTGGAGACCTTGACCACATGGGTTCCTCTGATACTGTTGGCCCACCAGGGGCCATCAGCAGATGGCTGAGAAACAGGTGCTGGGGACAGAGGGACCCAGTGTATACCTCAGGGCTTAACCATCAATAATACCCCTTTGGCACCTTGTTTTATCTCTTTGTTTCCTTGTCCATAGAATTGGCAATGTGAGTCCACAGAGCCATACAGGGCTGCTGTGGAGGGCTCACACACATACACACACACCTGCGTGTATGCACGAGCACACATGCACACTCCCACACATACACACACACACACATGCATGCACACACAATGCACACAATGCACATACACACACTCACACACATGTACACATACTCTTGCACATGTATGCACACACACACAACACACACATGCAAGTAGACACACTTGCACACATGTATACATACACACATACACACTCACAATGCACACACATGCATGTAGACACACCCACGCACATGTACACACTCTCACGTGCACACACATGTGTGCACATACACACTCACACACCTGTATGTGTGCATGTGTACACACTCTCTCTCACACATGCACATGTATGCACACACATGCACACTCATACAATACACACATGCATGTAGACATACACACATGCACACACACCACCTGTGACGGTGGCTGGTGCAGGCTAAGCCAGTGTGGTTGCTGTGATTGCTGGAAGATCATAATTAGCACGAGTGTTTATACAGTATCTAACATTTCTCCATTCAATATTGTGGGAAAAGCATGCCAGCAAACATTCGTCATCCATAAAGTGACTTAAAATCACAGCACCCTGTGTGAGAAAGTTCTCAAGACAATGATCTCAGGTCAAGAAACTGGAAAACAGGCAGTACATGCATCCCAGATTAAGAAAAAAAGAAAATCATAAGAAAGGTTAGAGCAGAAATTGATGAAAGTAAACAAATGGAAAGCAATCAAACTGGAATCTTGATATTTGAGATCAATAGAATTGGATCTATCTATCTGTCCATCACCTAGCTACAGAAAGAACACGTGTTAGCAGTATCACAGAAAAGTGACATTGACACTACTGCAGATTCTACTTTTTTTTATTCATATGTGCATACAATGCTTGGGTCATTTCTCTACCCTTCCCCCACCTCCTCCTTTACCCCTCCGCCCCCTCCCTCTATCCCCAACCCCCTCGGTACCCGACAGAAACTATTCTTCCCTTATCTCTAATTTTGTTGAAGAGAGAGTAGAAGCAATAATAGGAAGGGACAAGGGTTTTTGCTGGTTGAGATAAGGATTGCTATACAGGGAGTTGACTCACATTAATTTCCTGTGCGTGTGTGTTACCTTCTAGGTTAATTCTTTTTGATCTAACCTTTTCTCTAGTTCCTGGTCCCCTTTTCCTATTGGCCTCAGTTGCTTTAAGGTATCTGCTTTAGTTTCTCTGCGGGCAACAAATGCTAGCTAATTTTTT